AACATGCTTTTATAATGTCATCCGTAAAATCTGGTTCCACCTGAATAGCCGTATGTAAAACACGCCATTTATTTGCGAGTACTCCAAATGCACATTCGACTGTGCGTCTTGCTCTAGATCAGTGGTTCCCAACCTATGGTCCGCGGACCACCGGTGGTCCGCGAGACATCATGAAGTGGTCCGCGAGCCATACCTACAAAATTTAAAAATATTTCATTTTTCCTTTGGGGCGTGAGACAAAGTTTGTAACTGTTTTTGCTGGACTTCCAACGAAGAAGGCAGTAACTCATTCTTTTTATATTATATACTATATAACGTCTAATTCGTAAAAGCGAGGCAGTCAAAATATTATGTACCGACAATCGTTATCATCGATTCCACGGCGTGGCGCGTGTATATTACGTCGTTTATTAATTATAAATGTATATTACATTATTTCACGTATGTATTATTTCAACCGATAATCTAATCTTGCTGTACAAACAATATTAGATTATTGGTAGAATACAACAAGCTATGTACAAAGTTTAATATTAATTATTGTTAGTTGCTCTGTATTCGTACTCCGTAGTCGACGTCTGTGTTTCTGCCTCTTTTTGATAGTTCGTGTGTTAATAATAAAATTAAATAAAATGGCTCCGAAAAGAAAATATGACGACTCCTATATCAAATTTGGATTTATTGCAATCGAAACTAACCATGAAACTCGGCCGCAGTGTGTTATATGTTCCACTGTTCTTAGTAATGATGCGTTGAAACCCGCTAAATTAGAACGGCGTTTAAAAACTGTCCATCCTAAATTGAGTGATCGACCACCAGCATTTTTCATAGGTAAGTCAGAAAATTTGAAAAAAATGAAACTTGGAACAAGTGGTTCAAGATTCGAGTTAAATGAAAAAGTGCTATCTGCGTCATTTAAAATTGCACAATTAATCGCAAAATCAAAAAAACCACACACTATCGGTGAAAAGTTATTGAAACCTTGTTTACTAAATGCTGTTGAAGAAGTTTTAGGCGAGGAAGCTAAAAATAAAATACAAGAAATTCCATTATCGAATAACACCGTGAAAGCTCGCATTGACAAAATATCTTTCGATATTGAAGAACAATTATTGGTAAAAATAAAAAACTCACCTTTTTACGCATTGCAGTGTGATGAAAGTACTGATGTTGTCAGTTACTGGTTTTTGTTAGATTTTTGGACGATGACAACACAATAAAAGAAGAGCTTTTGTTACTGCAGGAATTGGGTACTACGTCGAAAGGAAGTGATGTAATGAAGATAATTAATGAATATTTTGAAAAGCACGACATTATGTGGGAAAAGCTTGCAGGTTTTTGTACGGATGCACGCATAGAAATTTGGAGTTATTTTAACTACAATGATAGTCAATGTTATACGCATTTGAACGTCGATTTTGAGCTAAGGCTGTCTTGCAGTTGAATTGACATCAACGTAGGGGTTAAATTTGTATGTAAAATATACGACAAATTAGAGTAATTATTAACCATTTTTGTGGTTAATTTAACATTAAGACGTGTTACAGTAGCCGTATAAAAGCTGAGTTAATTTATAATCCTTGAGCGTTGTTTTAGTTAAAATAATTGTCATAATTACCATCATCCTAAGCTCAATTAATAGCTAACTATAGTTAACTATTATTTGGTGTTGATTTAACCTCTGAATTCTGTGATTTTACTACATCTGACACATTGTAATAACATTATCAGTAGTTATCAGTGTCATCACTAACGTCAAATTAATTTATTACAGGAGTGAGCTGACATAATATTGGTGTTGTTTTGACAACAGCAATTTTTAAAATTACACTTCATTAAATGTTAAATTAGATTTTGTGTATAGTGAATCTAACCTTAAATTCATTTAAATCAGGCATAAGCTCTATAGTCAAAACAATTTTTAATTTTGTATAGAAAACATTTGTTTGAAAAATAAATTTAATAAATTTAAACTTTTAACACTATTGTGGTGAATACTGAATTATGGCCATGCTTATTATTATAATTTTTTTATATCTATGTAATAAACAAACACAAGTTTAATTAGAATAACATTTATTTAAATTCAATATTTTTTTACAAATTTAGAACGATAAGTATAGGTATATTAATATAGTTTTATTAATAAATACTAATTATAAAAATAAAGTTTACAATTTACAATGCATATTTTAAAGTAGCATACATTTTACCATTCTCTAGAACTCTAGCCACAGTTGGTGTTGAATCGGGTAATTCATTAATATAACAGCCAATATGATTTGAAATATTTATTTCTTTAGTATTTTCAATTTCATATGCATGGTAATGTGGATCAAAACCTATGCTTGAAATTGGACTGAGTATAAAATAAGGGTTCCTAGATTTCCCTACAAGCAGACTTATTATTTCCCCAAAAATACAGCCATCAAGATTTACATCAATAACCATAAGTAAGCCTTTTTTATAATAAACTCCTTTAAATTTAAGCCAAGAAGCATTAAAACAAACTGGAACTAATTCTTGAGGAAACTTATACAATGGTGCTGGAAACTCAGAATTGACAACAATCTCTTTTCCAGTACCTAATTTCAAATCATGTTGAAAACCAGTTTTTGAAAGAAGGCGACTAACCATTTGAAGTTGTAATTTATAGGCTAATGTATGACCAAGATTTATGCGACAAGGTATTGCATTTGCCACACCTTTCAAAATCTTATGCTTTGCTTCAAACCGTATACATGATGTTAACTTTATTGGACCATTTTTCAATAACATACGACCATAATGGGTTAAAATATGAAATTTCGGTTTTAAATTGCTTTTTGACAAGATGAGATACAGTCTATTATGTTGAGCAACAATAGAATCTAGTAATAAAGCACAATCACTTTGTATTCTACGCGCACAACATAAATCAACTATCTGTCGTAATAAAATGTATAGTTTCCAATTTTGAGAATGTTTAGGGACTAACTCACCTACAATTAAACCAAAATTTCTTACTAGGCATAACATCTCCGATGCTGACATAATAACTACCCATTATTTAAGCTGTTCTGATTTATTTTTGGAGGACAGTTTTTGCGTTCTGTAACACCGTAGTCAAAAAGAGTTATTCTAGAATTTAGTTGGTTCAAAGTAAAATATTTTTTATCAATAAGATTTTTAATTACTACTGCCATGTCATAACGTGCCACTCCTTCAGGAATATCGTGCATAAAATCACAAACCATATTTTGTACAACATGAAAATTGGGCACTTTGTTAAATATACATCTTTCATTTAATCCAGAATTAGACACACAGTTTAAAATAATATCGGTTTCATAATTATTTTCATTCCGTATTAAAGTGTCAACTTCGCGTACCATTTTATGAAGATCATGTTTAGAACAACGACAAATTCGGCAACAGTAATTAGCATTAAAACTTTCAACAAAACCCAGAATTGAATTTAGACCTAAATTGTCTCCTAATACCAAACCAAGAGCAAAGACTATTGTAATTTCGACCGAGTCAACTTGTATTGTAATGCCATTGGTTTGAAGATCTTTCAATTCATTGATTAGGGATGAAAACATTATTTCATTTGTCACTTTATTAATTCCTCGATCAGTAGAGTGAAATAAAAAAGCTATAAAAATGTTTTCCAAGGCAGACAAATATTCAGGAGGAAATGCTACTACTGAATAATAAATACATCCCATTTTATGTATTCCAGAATGTGAACCCAATGGGTTACCTAATTCAACATCATCATAGTATAAGTAAATAGGGAATACAATTTTGTCTGAAAAATTACGTCTCATTTTTTTCCAAGTGGAACCATCCAAAAATGAAATCATTGTTTCATTATTGGATAAGGATTCATTCATAAATTTAGTTGCAGTTTTATAAATATCAGGAAGTTCAAAGAAAGCTTTCAGATTTCTTTTTAAAGAAAGAAAATGTCCTTGTACTGGTACCATTAAAAGTCTATCTTCGCCAAGAACAGTTTTTTTTTCTTTTGTGTAACCTACAACTATAGTTTTTGGTATGATGAAAAGATCATTTGAAACTAAGTATTTCATGCGAAGGTGCTCAGTTGTAAGATCTAAAAACGGATGTTGAAGAGCATTAAACATTTCTTCAATTTCAAATTTTGTTGAGACATTACTTAAGTTTAAAAGTGGCATAATCTTTGACTTCAATTCAAGTACTATATCACTAGAAAATAATTCTATGACCCCATCTATTATTTCTTGCAAAAGCATACTTGTTACAGACGGTTTCATCATAAGTTTACTAATAAAATTTAATGCACACTTCTTAACAATATTTGTGTATGATATTTGTGTTAAAGGCAACAAAAATAAGTCATCAGTGTTTTTAGTCCTTATAAGTTCATCAACAACATGAATATCTTCTAGAACTTCATATGTGTCAATATGGTGATCAGAGGTAGTAGTCATTTCTGACAAATTAAAAAGAGTAGATGCAAATGAAGAAGGTTCAGTATCATTATAGATATTACCAATAGCTTCACTACCTAAATTATTGTGTAATGCATTATCAGAATTTGATTTTACTAATGGATGACTTCTGTTTAAATGTTGCCTAAAGCTTTTTAAACCTCTAAAGTCTCTACAACATGATTGCTGTTTGCACATATAAAACGACTGAGTTCCTAAGTTATGGTAAATTTTCATGTGCCATATAAGTTTAGAAATTTAGCTATGCCTTTTCAAGCATAAAAAACAGTTGTACATTTTGTTACCAATTGTAATTACCTTTGACAAGTTTGATAAATTGTATAAAATAGTATTCCATAAATAATATTAAAAATTGAACATACCAAATTTAAATGCTAACAGTTGCGTTCATGGTATTCATTTTACTATTTAAAGATACAATAACTGAAGATTGACGATCATAATTTGTTTCTATGTTGTACAGCTGTAGTTGTAGAATTATCCATGACTCGTAACATTCTTTTGGATAGCAGCAGTGTAATGCCATAAATGTCTTCAAACAAGCATCTACGGCTTCCAATGGACAGTTAAATGTCCAAAATTGATCGTCGACTCTTGTATAGCAGTATTGAATTGAAAATAAATCTTTTCCAACCAATACTATAAAAGGCTGAATAGTTGTGCCATACTGTACATATTTTTTAATTCTTTTATCTAATTCAGCTTCAAGTCCTGTCAAATTCTGAAAATCAAAAGAAATATTATGACCTAATATACTGTATTATTAAAAGGTTCAAAAATTCTATTGTTACAATTTGAATGAAAAAAATCCAATTAGTTTAAACAACTTCTGATGATCAGAGATTTGTAATTTTTATTATAATTATTATTTTTATTATTTTTAAATACTTAGTACTAAAAAAACAATATAAAACGAAAATGAATTTGTATACCCCTTCAAAAGATAAAATCTTGTGCCGAAGAGGGTGAGATCTAAATTCTAATTACAATTTATATTAATAACAAAGTAGGATGTATAGTACGGAATGAAGACAGACTAGAATTATATTAGATAGATATATGACTGAGATTTAATTTACAAACAAAACTTTTAAACAACTTAAATGAATTAAAGCTACATAAATTAATTATTAGTTTTTTATATAATTGTGTGCTTTTATTAACTGTACTCTGTTGTCCAACTGTGATTTTAATGTTTTTGAAGGTATTTAAATTGGTATAATTTTATTCCTGGTATTATATCTGGATTCAGATTTATATTTGTATTATAAATACTATGTTGTCTTTTTTACACATAGTTACAATATATAATGAATTTGTTCAATTAAAATGTAATTAATAAATATAACTTACAGTAACATGAACAACAAAAGCTGCAGCTGACTCAACAAGTGACGGTTTCCATGAATTTTTGTTATTTTTGATTTGTGTTTTAGTGGGCACAAGATATGGAATTAGGAGAAGTTTGAGAATATTGCACGTCCTGGTATCTTATATAAGGGTAATAAATAGTTTAAATTAAAACAGTCAAGTACATGTTTGTAAAAATATTATTTTAATTGATGGATTTATATTTTATACTCACTTCCACTGAGTTGTACAGCATCGAGTTGTTTCAATAAGTCTTTACCATAGTTTCTTTCACTGAATTTCTACGTAAGCTCAGTAAATTATTTGAAAAGTAAGTCCACTTTTTTATAAATGTTGGCCAATCATGTAAAAGATCCTTAATGCTGGGATACTCCAAATTAAAATCTTCAAATACCTTAAAAACATAAATCTTGAATAAAGATACTAACTAATTTTATGCTATGATTTATTATATTTGAAAAATTACCAGAACATATCCTTTTGGGCCACATAAAATAGGCCAGGATTTAAAAATTTCAGACAAATGACGTTTTGAAACGTCAGAACCATGGATTTCTGTTTTCCTTATATCGTAAGTAAGTTTCCAGTGTTTAATAACTTCTTCAAAGTCAGAAGATGGACCTGACTGACTCAACCAGACTTTAGCAGCTTCAATTTCATCTATTATAATCAATGTTATTAATAAATAAACATTTCTACAAATTAGGCATATTTTATAATTGTATTACCAGAAAATGTTATAACTGCAGGTGATATATCATTAGCACATTTAGTTTTTCTTTCACCTTCAATAGCACCTATACTTCTCAAACGACGCGAGACATTCTTCCACCTTTCAACTAATTTCCCTTTGGCATGAGAATTATTTCCACTGCTCGATGGTATGAAATATAGTTTCTATATAAGATGCATAGTATAATAGTTTTATTTTTCATAAATATGCTGAAATTAATTTGATAACCAACCTCTTGTTCTTTAGGAAATATTTCAATGATTAAAGATGCAATTTTCCGAAAGTAAAAGTCAGTACACCTGAAAATTATCAAAATATTACCAAATAAATAATACTACACATTAATTATATAATATTTAATTGGCTATTACTCTACTACTCAGTAATTACTAATTATATTCAAATCAATTCTCAATTGGTAGATTTATGTTATTTTAAACCTAGGCAATGAAAAACACATTATATTTTTGAATGTATCTACCTATATAAATATAACTTCATCAAGTATTGGTGTTAAAATAAAAATATAGCTAAATAAATAATAAATAATAAATAAAATTAAACTCTGTAAAAAAAACCTAACATTCTTTAGGTTTGTTCTATAAATGTGCAGTTATAAATATTGTTATATTATTAACATTGATCTAGACTAAATTTTTGAAACTAGGTACCTACACTGATTTGATTTATTACCTGCTCTTATCTTGAAACAAGTAATTAATTAAAAGTTTAGTTAGGCAATTCTGAGCTTCGTCTGAGAGGTGGCCATTATTCACCTTAGCATCAGTCATAATGAAACGACCATCATTTGTTGTCTGCAATAAGGCCATAATTGTCTACAAATAATTCATTACAATTTTTTACAAGCTCATACACTGTTATAGTACATTAGTATATTACTTGTAAAGTCCACTCCATTGGCTTATATACACCATACTTGGGATGTGGAGAATATGGAGAATATCTATTAGAACTACTTGCACTAGCACTTACATTATTATTGTTATTTACTACATTCAAAGGGGCAATGATGTAATCTTCATTTAAATTATGTATACTTCCAGAAATACTATCATTATAACTTTGATCTTCAAAAAACTGCTATAAGTTTAAGATGAGGTTTGAGATAAATAAATTAAAATAACTAATTGAACAAATTAAACCAATATTTAAATTCATAATGTCTTGTATTATAGGTACTTACCTCAATATATTGTATGTTTTCGTTATCGTCCTGGTCCATAATTTATAAGTAAATTAGTTTGTAAATTTTAAAACTTTTAAATCAAAATGGTACGAGACACGATGCCACGATGGAGTTAAAACGAATAAGTAAACTAATCGAAATAACAGATATTATAGGTTATGTGTAAAATTAATTTAATATTTATTTTTTACTATGTTTAATGTTATTATAATGACTTGTCATGTGGTAAAATTACACATTGTGAATTGTTAAATCAACACTCCTTGGGTATTCATTCTAGTTACAACATGGATAAAAATAACGTGGTAAATGATAATAATATAACACTGTTTGATGTTGAATTAAATTACTTTGGAGTTAAATCAACACTTTTTTCTTCTTATATATACTTCTAATATAGTTGAAATAACGTGGTTATTCATTTTTAAATTTTACTATTTGATTATGTTTAAAATGATGCTCAATTTTGTTATATTAAAGTCATCTTGCTAACCAAATCTACTAATTACGGTAGCTACAATGACATTATTATAATGTTATAGATTGACTAATTGTGTACATTTCATACCAACAAACAAAAGTTTCAAAATAACTATTTATTGTTGCTTAATTTACGTTTAATTATAGTCACGACAATTTATAACAATTGTCAAGTGATCTACACTCATGATGACTCTCGACAAAGTGTTATCGTGAATAGAACCAACTATTAACTAGACAATTTGCTCTCAACACCCCTATTTATAGTAGATTTAACTCCGAAATTTCTATGCGTGTGGAGCTCCAGCTATGCTAGGATCACGTTCGGGCCTAGCAACGTTGGTTAAAGAAAAAAACTGTTCAGCATTGACAACGCATTGTGTAATTCATCGACAAGCATTAGCTTCAAAAACATTACCTGAAGAACTCATATATACTTTAAAAACAGTCCGTAAAAATGGTGAACGCTATCAAAAGTAGTGCACTAAATACTCGCATTTTTAAAAAAATATGCTCGGACTTGGATTCTGAACATGAAACTTTGCTTTTTCATACCGAAGTCCGATGGCTTTCGAAAGGAAACATGTTGGCACGATTATTTTCACTTAAGGAGGAAGTGACAGTGTTTTTAACTGAGAAAAAAATGATCGATTTATTGAAATGTGTTTGTGATCATAAGTTTGAAATGCACTTGGCTTATCTTGTCGATATCTTTGAGCATTTAAACAAGCTTAATTTACAATTACAAGGCTCCGGAAATCATAAATTGGAAGGCGCTTCAAATATATTTATATTTGAAGATAAACTTCGCGCATTTATTTGTAAAATTAATTTATGGATAAGTAAAGTTGAGATGAATAACTACTCAACGTTTCAAACACTAAAAAGCATCGTCGACAACGAAAAATATGCTGACTTCGTGCCTGAGGTCCAGCAAAATGTGTTACACCATCTGCATAAACTTAAAGATGAATTTAACCGGTATTTCCCAGAATATAATGGTTATGAAACGAAAAGTGTCCGAAGTATGATTCGAAACCCTTTTATTGTCAAAGTTGATGAGGTGGATGATGATATCCAGGAAGATTTGATAGAGTTACAAAATGATCGAAACTGTAAGGATACGTTTGAATCTTCCATGAATATCGAAGAGTTTTGGTGTAAAAAAGCAATTACGTATCCTAAGCTTCGAGAAATCGCACTAAGATATTTAGTCATGTTTTCAACAACTTATATGTGCGAACAAGGATTTTCCGCACTGCTCTACATTAAAAACAAACAAAGAAATCGGCTGGACGCCACTAAAGACATGCGTGTAGCTTTGAGCAATATTACCCCAAGAATATCTTTGTTAGTAAAGGAAATGCAAGCGCAAAAATCACATTAACTTGTTTTTATAATTAAATTTGCCTTTTATAAAAATAATAGTATGATACCCATTTTTTTTATTATGGTAATTTGTGTTGAATTGTTAATAAATGTAAAATTTTTACCAAATTAAATTATTTTGTATAGTAAAGTAGTAGAATTATATATAATAGTATAGTAATAAAAAGTAAAGTAACATAATAAAAATTTACATTTTTCGATAAATTTTGTGTATTTTTGTAAAAAAAAAAGGTCTTCCTAGTTTTCGTAAAATTGAGGTGGTCCGCGACCTATAAAATATTGTCGAAGTGGTCCGTGGTGGTAAAAAGGTTGGGAACCACTGCTCTAGATAATCGGTAGTTGAACACTCTTCGGGAATCAGTAAGGTTACGTCCAGGGTACGGTCTAAGTAAATTGGTATGTAAAGCAAACGCTTCATCCCCAATAAACACATACGGTTGTGGGTTGGTACTTGTATTTGGTAAAGTAACTGGTTCAGGTATGTTCAATTTGCCTTCATATAATTGTTTACCAAAAGCACACTCCTTGAACACATTGGAGTCCCCTTCACGACCATATGAACCAACATCGATTACAACAAAATTCAAATTTGCATCAACTATTGCCATCAAAACGATAGAGAAATACTTCTTATAATTAAAGTACAACGAACCGGAGTTGTTAGGATTTCTACACCTTATATGTTTGCCGTCTATTGCTCCTAGACAATTGGGAAAATTGGTTTTAGAATAAAATATATTTGATATTTCCACCCAATCTTCTTTGGTCGGTTTAGGCATCTCTTTCGAATTTAAAGTTGACCATATCACTTTACAAGTGTCTTTTACGATCACTCCAATCGTACTTCTTCCCACACAAAAATCAAATTTTAATGCAGCGAAGCACGTACCAGTTGATAAATATCTAATAAATAAAATATATATTATTAATTAATACATTATTAAAAATACATTTTGATGGGTCGCTTTTTTTAGTTTTTACATTCTGAGCGTAACAATGTCACAATGCATTGATTTTACTATGTGTATGTTTTTGTTTATTACATTTTTAGATTCTGAGCGGAAAAACAATTTTCAAAAAATGTCCACTTAAATTGAACTATTTATAGGCATATGCAATTTTCGATTATTATTAGTTTTTATTAAATTAATATCGATAAATTTAATAGAAGGCTTCTAACATATTGTTATAATAGCAGTTGAAAAATAAAATAAATTCAGTCACAATTTTTTTTTATAAGCATTCATAGTTTGAATTTTGACAAAATACGTAAAAATCACGAAAATTCACAAATTATTTTAAGCTAGAAATTCATAAAAAAATTTCATTTTCTATATTTGATAAAATTTTCAAAATATTTTGATTAGTTTTGAGCTGTTACTGAAATTTTAATTTTTAATTTTTTTTTATTAATAGAAAAAATTAAAATTTTATCGGTTGGGTCAAAAAGCTAGAAAATTGAATATATTCATTGTAACAAGGCTTCCAACATATTGATTCAATAGCAGTCGAAAAATAATAAAAATAAATATTCATGATTTTTTTTATAAGCATTTAAACTTATTTTTATAAAATTTAATAATTATTTTGTAACCAAAAATTTATAAAATTTGAATATTTTTATCTAAAGGTTCCACTTAAAATTTATTTTTATACTGATTTCATTAATTATTTATAATATTATAAATTAATATAATCATAGTGACCGATCTGAAAGCCAAATGGAGACATATTAGAGACCACTATTCAAAATTTATGAATCAGGGTAAAAGTGGCGAAAGTGCAAAAAGAAAAAAATATGTATACGCAGAATCACTGACGTTCTTGCAGCACATAATTAAAAAAAGAAGGTAATTCTATTAATAAAAATATTTATTACAAACAATAATATTCATGAAAATGTACATCACTATAGTAATGACAACTAGATAAATTATTTTTTATTTGCTCATAGGACGACAGGTAATTTCAATGAAAGTGTACAAGAAGAAGAAAAAAATACCGGCGGAGAAGATTCATCCCAAGAGCAGGTTTTAGATAATGAAATGATACCACCTCAATCCAACAGATATTCAACTTCAAAAAGTAAAAAACAAAATAGTTCCAAGGTACAAAAGATGACACCATTTCAAAAAGAGTTACTAAGCAATTTAGCTACTTCCGAAGAAGATGAAACTTCTGATCCTGATAAGGCATTTTTATATTCCTTAATACCTGAATATAAAAGACTAAACTATGATCAAAAAACAGATTTTCGTCTCATGACTCTACAATATTTTAGGAACGTATCATTAGGCTCTAATCAACTACAATCAACTCCACCATGTTTTAACATTTATCAAAACACTAGTCAGAATGCCCCTATTCCAACTCAATATTCAAGTGTATATCCTTCATTCAATCCCGGCATGGAGAACAATCAAAATCAAAATCTTATGCCACAACCCTTGCCAATATATTCATCTAATTTCAATCCAAATGCTCAACATTCCACACCATATCCTAAAAACTCATATACTTATATATCTGATCAATCCCAACAACCTACTACTAGTGAAGATTTGTTTGAAAAACTGTAATAGTATGATAAATAAGTAAAGTTTATACTTATTGCAATAGGGTGCGTCATTTCAGTTTTTAAATTCAAACATCATGACATTTTAAAATTTTTTTTATAAATATTAAAATAACAAGGTTTTGTTATGCAGTAAAATATTATATGGTGCTTATAAAGTATTAATGAAGTTAAAAAAGTATTTAATTTTTAATATTTTAAGAACATGAAATTGTTTCATTTTTTATATTTTATAATTAAATAACAAAGATTGTTATATTTTAATGTTATTTGTACTATACTGTTAAATATTATTTGATCTTTGAATAAAAATAAAGTATTACATTTTTTTTTCTTATAATGTAGTGTTTGTCCGTGTATTTTCATAACCTAATACAGAAATTATGTTAAAAAATAAAAATAATTATTTTTAATTTTTGATAACAATAGCTTATAGGTGATTAGTGATAACTTATTAATTATTAATAATCATATACATATATCACGTTGAAAAACTTAACTTTTATACGTAATATAAAAAAAAACTTACCTTAAAGTAATTGTTAGACGTTCCTCAGCAGATATCGGATTACGAAATTCGGTGGTATTTTTCGTTATATGTGGCCGTAGAGTTTTTAGCAACTCGTCAAAACTTGAAATTGACATACGATAATACTCAAAGAATTTATCAGGATATAGTCTAATATTTTCAAAAAATGTCGTAAACTGGCCTATTTTCTCACGATCCGTATTTAGTGGGTGTACCCAATACCTTCGTTTTGCCTTCGGTGGATCTAATAAGCCTAATGCTTCGGCTACAGCAACAACTTTAACCTTTTGATGATTCATTTAATCTATAGATTATATATATTATATATTATATTATTATATATAATACATTTATAAAATATAAGTATAGTATACTTACTTATGGAGTGTTCAAAAAATAAATTAAAAATACAAAAATGTAATAATTTTGACGCACTTAAATTAGGTAGGTACCTAATATTATACTCGTACCTATAACGTTATAACTGACAAGTAATATGACAAAATAATTCTGAATAAATTATGTAAGTAATCTAGGTCTACATCAAAGAGCGTAGAGACGTTGAATGTAATGAAATTATTGGCCTTAGGTAGTTTGACGAATTTGGAGACTAGTGGTGGCGTTTGGAACTTGGAATGCAGTAGCGGGAACAAAAACGCATAGATGTGACATCAGTTCGTGAACGACTCCCGTCCGAGCAACACGTATGTTAACGTTTAGTACGCCTTTATAGCTTCGATAGCGTAAAGGCCAGTCTTCTTCGATACAGGTAATATGATATTATTATTCTCCCGTTATCTCAGCCCGTAATTACCCAGACACACGCAACTGCCGCATTACCTAATTAAACGACCGCCGACCGCTCGCGGTCGTTACCGGCCCAAGGCCACCCGACACCTCTCACCTTTATCATTTTTCGTAATGAGCCCAACGTCCAATTCTAAGACCGCTTCCACAAAGCAAAACAACAAACCACCTTTATCACCATTAATTCTCGTTAAAACTAAAATACCACAAACTACCAATAAGTCTCCAGATGACTCTTCCGACTGCAACGATATCTGGCAAACAATAGACCCAAAAAAACGACTCAGATCACCGCTTATCAAATCTCCTCCGCACAAAAAAGCAGACTCAAACATATTCATCACAAAAAACCGATATGCACCGATATCTCCCACCAACGAAAATGAACCAATGGATAGCACGAACGTACAGCCCACTGATAATGCCGCTGAAATCAACACCGATAAAATAAATCTTCCTCCTCCAATATTCATTCAAGCTCAGCTAAACTTCAACACATTCTGTATCAAATTAAAAGAAATTACAGACTCTACAAGTTTTGCATGCAAAACTACTACCAAAGGTGGCAAATTACAAACCTTCAGTTCGGATTCATACAGATCTGTTGTTAAATTTTTAAAAAACGAAAATGTTTCCTTCCATTCCTACCAGTCCAAAGAAAGCAAACCACTCAGAGTAGTAATCAGGAACCTACATCCTACTACCGACAAGGACCACATAACCAATGAGTTATCCGAACTAGGTTTTCAAGTCATGAACATCACAAACGTTCTCCACAAATCTACTAAAACTCCACTCCCTCTTTTTTTTATCGACCTCGTACAGTCTCAGTCTAATCAAGAAATCTTCAAACTAAATTCTCTCTGTTACTCCAAGGTCAAAGTAGAAGCACCATACACTAAAAAGGAAATTCCCCAATGCCAGCGTTGTCAGTCCTACGGTCACACCCGTGGCTACTGCAACCATACCCCAAGATGTGTTCGCTGTGGTGATACTCACGATTCTTCTGAATGTCAAAAATCTCGAGATGAACCAGCCAAATGCGCACTTTGTGGTGGCTCACATCCTGCTAATTACAGGGGCTGTCAGTCCCACAAGGATATCCTCAAACACAGAAAAATTATTTCAAATCCTAATTCAAACTTCAGAACCAGCCACTCCACTACCGACAATGCCAATTCAAATCTCACCGAAAATCTCACATCGCCTAAACATTTTCCTCCCCTTCCCAACTCAAACTCATCTCAACATCAACCAGCAACTCAGGAGAAACCGGATCAATCTCCAACGAATAATCTCTCCGTCTACCTCTCCACATTTGTTAATGAGCTTAAATCATTAATCAACCCACTAATCTCACTCGTCACGACCCTCATAGAAAAACTCATACACAACGATGGCCGCCGTTAATAACACCAGTCACCCACTCTCAATCTTTTTGTGGAACGCTAATGGAATTCTCAATAACATCAACGAACTTCAACTCACCCTTAATGAAAATAGAATCGATATCGCAATGATATCCGAAACTCATCTCACCCAGAGAAACTTCCTCAACATCCAAGGCTACGAAGCACTCAGAGCAGATCACCCGGACGGCTCCGCTCACGGAGGAACTGCTCTACTTATCTCTCGCAGAATACCTCACTCTCCCCTCCCCCCTCACACTTCAGACAAACTCCAAATCATTGCTTCTTCCATTGTTCTTAACTCAATCCCAATCTCATTTGCTTCCGCTTACCTTCCTCCAGGATGCCAATTTCCCGAAAATGAACTAACATCCTTTATACTCTCCCTCAATCACACATTCGTCATTGGAGCCGACTTCAACGCTAAGCACCTAAACTGGGGATCCAGATATACCAACACAAGAGGCCGTTCCCTTCTCAGGGTCATGTCCTCCTCGCACGCCAAAACTATTACTACGGATGCTCCTACATACTGGCCTACGCACGCAAATAGATACCCGGAAATTCTTGACTTCTTTCTATCAAACCTGCCTAACCACCTCAAAACTCAAATAACCAACCTAAATGATCCTGCTTCAGACCATACTCCAGTTCTACTGCAAATCAATACCCAAGCCTCGAGCAAGCCCAGTTTTAAACAAATAAATTGGCCCAAATTCCGTAATATCTTATCGAATAATACTAATCTAAACATAAAATTAAAAACTAAAGAAGACATTGATATGGCAATCACTTCTCTTACTGAAAACATTCTTCTCGCAAAAAACAACTCACTTTCCCCTACGTTAAACACGATAAGCTCCAATCATTTAACACCTGAAATAAGTCACCTCATTATTGAAAAACGTCGAGCCCGCAACAGATGGCAGCACTCCCACTACCCAGATGATCGGCATATTTACAACTCACTTTCAAACAAACTTAAAAAACTTCTCAAGAAACATAAAAATGCTCTTTACGAATCACACTTATCATCTCTATCACCAAATAACGGTTCCCTATGGAGAAAAACAAAATCCTTACTCAGACACAAGACAATATTCCCTCCTCTTCAACGTCAAAACTGCAACCTCGCCGTCTCTGCTCAAGATAAGGCTGAACTATTAGCTCAACATTTTTCCAACGTCTTCAAACCACACTCTATCCTCCCTGACAACTCTCATCTAGATCAAGTGAACAATTTTATAAATTCACCACTCCCTATGTCCCTACCCGCCAAACCCACCACCCCAAATGAGATCTCCTCAATTATTAAAACATTCAAGATCAACAAATCACCAGGCCACGATCAGATAAGTAATAAAATTGTCAAAAATCTCCCGGCCAAAACAATCATTCATCTTACCCATATTTACAATGCCACACTTCGTCTATCATACTTTCCTTCAACCTGGAAGTCAGCAGTTATTATTCCAATACTAAAACCCAGCAAGCCTCCTGACAAGGCTGACTCATACAGGCCAATTAGTCTGCTACCAGTGCTCGGAAAAATCTTGGAAAAACTACTCCTCAAGAGACAATTAAAAATTTCTGACGAACAAAATTCATTACCAGATTTCCAATTTGGTTTTCGCCCAAAACATGCCACTTTTCACCAACTACATCGTGTTGTCGATTTAATTGCCTCCTCCCTCGAAACGAAGAAATACTGTTCCGCAGTATTCCTTGACGTCGCCCAAGCATTCGACTCGGTCTGGCACGCTGGCCTGCTATACAAATTAAAAAAAATCTATCCTGCGCCATACTATCTCTTACTCAAGTCATATATCGAAAACAGATCATTCAATGTTAAAATGGAATCCACCTTTTCCGACTCTTACGACATACTTGCTGGCGTACCTCAAGGAAGCGACATTGCCCCGTTTTTGTACATCATATTCACAGCTGACATTCCTACCACAGAAAACACTACTATGGGTACATATGCAGACGACACTGCCATTCTTGCCGCTGACTCCGATCCAGACATTTGCTCTCACCATCTCCAAAACCATCTCAACATGCTTTCAAAGTGGTGCAACACATGGAAAATCAAAGTAAACGAACTCAAATCTACACATATCACCTTCACCCTCAGACCTAAGGACTGTCCTGAAGTTTCTTTCAACAATTCAGTAATTCCCCACTCAAGAGAAGCCAAATACCTTGGCCTGCTACTCGACAGGAGACTCACCTGGGGTCCTCATCTCAAAAATAAAAGGAAACAGCTCAACTCCCGCCAACACGTCATAAGACCTCTCCTCAAATCAAACATGAACCTGTCTAACCGTTTACTTCTATACAAAAGTCTCCTCCAACCAATATGGTCATATGGAATCGCCCTCTGGGGCACTGCCAAACCATCAAACCTTCGGACAATCCAGGCTTTCCAATCAATATGCCTTCGTATGGTCGCCAAAGCACCTTGGTTTGTTACAAATGCCTCTTTACATCAAGATCTCAAAGTTCAATCCATCAACCAAACAGCAATTACATTCTACTCAAGACTTCACTGCAAAATACTTGGCCACCCAAACAAATTAATATCCAATCTTCGCTCAAAACATCTTCCCGGCAACCCCACCCGTCGACTCAACAGAAATTGGTCCAGAGACCTTATCTAAAATACTTTTACATTTAATCAACTAGATTTAAGACTCATTAAAAGGTAGCTCAACTGTGAGCTTCCCTTCACTGCCCCATCATTGTCATTCCTCCCTCCAATTTACTCATTGTACATAACTTGTATAGATTGTAAATTTTTCAATAAACGCTATTTAAAAAAAAAAAAAAGATGTGACATAGGCAAAATCATCCGGTCAAAACGCGTCCGGTTTACCCGGACCCGCTAAAACGCATGGTGTGGCGGGACCCTAAATCAACTAACGTTTTTTTTTTATCTTCTTCTAACATTTTGAAGTGTAAATGAGAGATAAATGAATAGAATGTCCAACTAGAATGTATTATATATATATATATATATATATGTATATTGTACAAATATTTTGTTGTTGTTTTTTTTTTTATGAAAATTTGAATTAAAT